ACACTGAATTAAAGTCAATACATATACATAATATTGTGTTAAAATAGCATGTGTTAACCCTCAATTGGACCCATTTCATTGTTTTGTGTTTATCAAAGGGCTGGTTATCCTTTTTTTTCATGAAATTAGGTGACTTTTCCTCATCTGGGGTCATGAACTTGTGGGTGAAATCTGGTCACTTTGATGTTTTGTGGGGTGTGTGCAGAGTTTGTATACAAAGATGATGTTGCGGGTCATTTTGACCCGGCCACTTTAATGTGGGTAAGTAGCTGTTCAGATCCAAAAAATCCACCTCTGAGACCCAGACCAAGGTGTGAGTGAAGGATCTGGGTCTGAGGGTCTACATCACCACATCCATATTACTGCTGGTCATTTGCCATCACAAGAGTAGTTTGATTCCATCAGCATTTCAGACCTTCATATCCCCACCAATAGAGAGGATGATACTGGAAATGAGCAACTTGGAGTGGAGGCATATGTTTCAAGAATCACAGCAACTAACAGCTATGAGAGCAAGACTGCCGGTTTGATCCAGACTCGAGTCAGGCCGCCTGATCCCCAGCAGCAGCCATCTTTGAACAGGTCAAGCTCAGGTCCCTCAACCAGCATCCAGTGGACAGGTGAAGAGAAAATGATGCCCAGGTCTGTCCCTCCCAAGACGACAGTAAAATGGGCAACTCTTGTGTTAAATGCAAGAATTACATCTGCAGAAAGTACACAGTCATATTCCCAAACGTGTTTGTGATGAGGGAAAACACCCACACAAAATAGATATTAATTAAAGTGTTTATTATTTTGGGGCGGTAGGTGGGCCAGGGGTAGACAGAGGATTTATGGATTTATGTCCCCCATACGTTGAATGTTGCTAAGAAAGAAAGAAGAGACCTTGTGAGGAGTATAGTACAATTATAGATTTTTTTTTTTTAAATGGATTTACAGTTGTTTTGTTTTTTAATCCATCATACCTTTCCAGGTCTTCGGCTGGCAAGACATTAGATGGCAAAGCAGTGTCATTAATGCTGTCAAATAAAACCAGCAGAGTATTAGGAACAGGTTTGCTCCTCATGGAATCATTACATTGAAGAAAATAAGCAGTAATTGCATACTTTGCAGCAAGAGCCATATTTGCAAGCATCGAATGGCACCACCACCTCCGTATCCATGGCATGTCATCCTAAAAGAAACAAAGTGCAAACAGGCTCACAATACAGGTTTAAAATAAAGGATGCTTTGTCAGTATGTCGAAGGCTGTGTGAAAATATCAGTTCATGAGAGTAGGAATACTCAAACGGGAATACTTAACTTGCTTAGAATATTTAACTCACAGACAAAATAATAATTTCGGACCATAAAAGTTTGTGTGTGTGTGCATTAGTGTCAGGGTCACGAATTTTCACAAGAGGAGTCCCCACAAAATCATACCTGACCGAAGTCAAATCTCCACCCCAAGGCCATATAAAGCGCGTACTGTAAAGTGGAGATGCAAATCAGAAGGATGGCACAAACATTTTGAATTGGTCAAATACATCATCAACATCATCTACATCAATAGTTCAGTGCCAGTCAAGAGACTCAGACTGGACTAGTCTGTATGTCATGGGGAAAACAACAATGTAAAAAGTGCCTCTGCACTCAAAACTGACCATAACCATGAACACTCCACAGTCATTTGAATAGGCCTGGCCTGGAGGGTCCTGCAAAATGTGAAAAAATATTGTAACATACACATACACTCCCCTCACAGTAATACAATTATTACCACCACAGCTTAATTATCCATCCATCCATCCATCCATCCATCCATCCATCTATCCATTATCCTCCGCTTATCTGGGGTCGGGTCGCGGGGGCAGCAGCCGGAGCAGGGAGACCCAGACTTCCCTGTCCCCGGCCACTTCCGCCAGCTCCTCCGGGGTAATACTACTGTACCGTGTTTCTGATGACTTTCCAGTGGCCGGTAGCCAAGCGTGTGGCAATTGAGCTACAGATAGTAAACAGAACATTAGTTGAGCAGGCAAAGAGCGCAAAACCCTCACCACCAAAACCCTCACCAACAAATCCATAACCAGCATAACCACCAAAACCCTCCACCTTTTGCAGAACGAGCAGTGAAGCTAGGTGCAACTAAAATGTGCAATTTAAAAAAAGAGATGATCTCATCTGATTGGCTTTTGGTTTTGATAACTTAAATAATGCTTCACTGCCCCACTACAAATGCACACAAACACATATATTCCTAAAGTCATAGACAACAGTTAAAGCTTGATGTAGTAACCCAGTGAATGAAGTAGTTTAGTGTCAAATTTGCCCATTGGTGTAAGAATGAACAGTCTATGTAATAACTAATGTCCCCATTTAATTTTTCTGATACTTATTTCATAACTGCTGTCTATGAGTTTCAGAACATGGACAAGAACAACACAGAACACACCTTCTGAACATGAAGGATTTTGTTTTTCTTTCGAACAGCATTGCATAGGGAATGGTGAACGATTCCAATTAAAGAGACATTAAACCTGAATACGCCTAAATATTGCTCGTCGCCAATGCGCAAAGGATCAGCTGAGTCCAGCTGATATATTTGGAAAGCTTTGGGCATCAGGAGCTGTCAAGTGAAGTGTCAATAACAACCATCAATCAATCAATGTATAGCACATTTTTTGGGGAGATGTTATAAAGGTGTCTACTTTCAATATAATTATAAGCAGGTGTTCCAAGAGCTGTGGAAGCTGGATCTGTGGTTGGGAGTTTCCTGCTGCCCCCGTATTCCTACTCTGCTACAATTACAGCGACTGCTCATAGTCTTATTGCTATCGTTATCATTAGTATCAATATCATTGCCATTTTTTATCCAGTCTATGTGTTACTGTGTAGGCTCCCTCTCTCTCTTGCCCTCTCTCTCTCTCTCTCTCTCTCTCACCCCCTACCGGCTAAAGCAGATCCCCCCCCTCCCAACCCCAGCCATGGCTCTGCTCCAGGTTTCTGCCTATTAAAAGTGTCTCCTAGTTTTGCTCTTGGTGGGAACTGTTGCTCTTCTGGAAATAGCTCTGTTTGGAAAGCTGGGAGATAACTGTTTTTGTGATGTTGCGCTATAGAAATAAAATTGACTTGAAAAAGTTAAATGTCAATGCATATATGTAGTACCAGCATGGTCATTACTGTAATTGGTTTTAATAATAAAACAACAATCAACAATTTGAAGCTACACTGGAGCAAGTAAAGACTTACACAGAGGAACCAGTGTCCTGGTTTCCACACAGGAAAAATCAGGAGATCTTTTGATGCTGCATCAGCCTGTAGGTGATCATAAAGCCAATAAGTGTCCCCTTTCCCAACTTATGTAAATGGAAGACAATGCAGGGGGAAAAAATGAGTAGAAAAAAGTAAATAAGCTTACCGGTAAATTAAGAAAAGGGTCCTGGAAACTTGGTGCATGCCAAGTGGCAACGACATAGGCATCTGCTGCATACACATCCTTCTTCTGCCAACACATAAGTAAGGGACAGAATAAGCTGTCATGTGAGGGATCACATGTTTGATAAACTTCATGATCAACTTAAAGGTTAACAAATAACTATGCACACCTTCCACCAGGCCATGTCACAAATGAGCTCCATGCAGCAGTTGGCAATCTATAAAGAGAAATGCAGAGGTTAATTTCAAATGTGTGGTAGAGAATCCACACACGTATAAATGCTATATCCTACTTACTGTCGCTTCCAAGTTCTGCTGCAAACCCAGTGACTGGAAGTCTTTCCGTCTTAAGTTGGTAGTGCCAATTGTCCCAATAATCTCGGTTGGTGATCTTCTGGCATCGAGCACATAGTCAACCTTGAACAAGACAAATCATATATATATATATATATATATATATATATACACATACATACAACAAACAAACTAACAGCATCAATGGTCATGTTATTGTAACTACAGCATATACAGTGTCGTGTAGAATTTTCTTTTGTTTCTTTGTTAAAGCTACTGGTTGTTGATTCCTTTAGGGAGAGTCGTCTCACATGTCTGGACACTGTCGTTTTAGCACCATTAGGAAATGCCAGAATTTCCATAATCCCATCAAGGATGAATCTCCCATTCCTGTTTTTGTACGACTTGCTCTTTTGTGGATCCTCACACCTGAGAAGATTCTGGGACTGAATGTAAATCAGTATCTCTTTGTTTGTTGCTGATAAGAAACACAGTGGCGTTTTTCCATTCTTTTATCCATACTATGTTATAAAAAGGTGACGTGCCTTTTCATCGGCACGCACTCACTTGTGTTTTACTCCGTCTTCGAACGCTCTTGCCTTCGAATAAATCTCTTCATTGGAAAAGATCGATCTTCTCTAATTATTAAGAAAATTTGCCTCAGTCATTTAAAGAACTTTTTCCATAACAACAGTAAAACAAACAATGTTATGAGCATACATTAACATATTTCCATTAAACTGAATTTGGGATCATATGTTTCAGAGGCAAACAATTACAGGGAAGGATGAATCATTTTTAAAACGCACCTGTGACTCTGGGATGCCTGATCTGGCAAGCATATGTCTTAAATGGGGTAGTCCCCAACAGTCTGGTCTGCACACTGACAGATCTGGCACAAAAAACAAACAAACAAATAAAATGAACTAAGTTTGTAAGGCAGACTGTCATTTAGTAGATAGTCCAAAGTGGAATATATCTAAGAACATATGCAACCACGCATGTCTGCAAAGTGTCTGTGAAAATTTTTTTTTTTGGAATACCAAGTACTGGAGCCTCTGTCGTTCCAGTGTTTGGTACTTGATCGGTGGCCATGGCAGGACCTTGGCCCTCATCTGCGGTTGTGGTGGGGTCTTGGGCCTCATTAATTCCGGCTGGCAGGGAAAAATGAAATACGTTGAACCAACATACAAGACCTACCAAATTCAACAAATCAATGCCACATACATCAAACAAGAAAGTTTCGCATCATGAAAATGTAAATATATCAATATACTACATACCCAGCACTGTCTGTCCATAAGAATTAAATCCGATGTCATACCCCACACCAAGCATCTTTTTCATATTTTCGATGGTCGCCAAATTCTTTGCTGTGTTGTAATGATGTAATATATTCCTCATCAAAAACACGTGAGAGGAAGGAGTCATCATATTTAAAAAATAATTGTTCTTTCTCATCCCCGAGAATAGCTGTTCAGCACATTGACTGTTCAGCCAGCCACATAATTCTTGGGCGAGATCGACCCTTCGCAATACATCTCTGGCATCTTTAGTGTTGGCTTCATGAAATCTGTCATACAGAGCATAACGCTCTGATGACCCGGTGATAGGGTGGCCGTTAAAATCAGGAACCTCCTTTTTCTGCGCTAGCCACGGCAAATTGGCTTTGACTTGCCCTGAACTGGCAAGACAAATATTTGTCAGGGTGGGCTCCAGCAGCCGTCCATCATGTGGTCTGAATGTTCCTGGCAGCCTGGTATTGGCATGTGTTGCCAATCCTCGTGCAAAGTCATAAAGTGTGATGTTGGGGAAGTGCTTCATTGACAATAAGAGGTCAATGAAGTCCCTAGGGCTTTCAGCTCTCAGGTTAAATTTCACGGCATACACCACAGCACATGGGCATGTGACTACTGCCCAGCCACCTGTCAAAGAAAACAGGACATACAATAACTTAACTACTCCAAGCAAATGTCTTCAACATATTCAAACATTCAAATCACTGCATTTTAGCAATCTTACCAGAAGCACCCCAGACATGTGAAAACACCTTGTCGTATGATGCACGGTTTTTCATCTCCGTCTGGAGTCTTATTATCAAGTCCAGACGTGACCCCTTAGGGTCAATCCCACACTGCATGCACAAGGAACGCACAGCTTCCATCTACAATGGAAATTAGCAATTTGTTTAATGCGGTAAACAAATACTACTTCACTTTTGGCCACAACGTGGTATCCTTGTTAACAGACACACAAAAGAACTTGGGATCCATACCTTTAACTTCAGGAGCTCATCTTTAAGACGGTCCTCTGTCACAGTCAATTCCACCTCCTCCTTTGCACTGTGTGGTGAATGTATCTTTCTGTCTTCCGTGTTTAGGACCACACTTCCCCTCCTTGTGTGAGGCCCTATCCATGGAGCCCAGAACTTGTAACTTGGCCTGACAATGAAAGGATTGGCCTTGTTGCCTTTAAATAAACGGAAATATAATTAGGTTGCTAACATTATTGCTAGATAAACAGTAAAATGTAATCAATTGTCTACATACTCACTTGGTACAAACCCACGGGAAATCATTTCCATGGAAACTTTATCCCAAAAGTCCTCGATATTTACATTGCCATCAAAACCCTCTGGTGGCTTATCAATGTTGCTGACTTACAACAAACAAACAAAAAAATTAAATGGAATACATATAAATCTGTACAGGCTGAACAGGTGGTGTTTCAATCAAGGGCAGCAAATCACAGATACAAAGGAATGATGAATAGACAGGCAGATACAAAGTTAGACAGACATGAGCTTACCAGGCATATTGAAGACACCCTTCTTATGAAGGTCCATCACAACACATACTGGGTTATGGCCACATGACACACATGCATATGTGTATTCATGATCACAAAGCGCTTCGAATGCCAGGTAGGCGTGCAGAATTCTGTTTTTTGAGGGGTAGGTCTGGCCATAGGTTCTCTCTAAAACCTCAATGGTTCTACTTACAGCCTGGTGGGTCTGAAAAATCAGGATAAACACAGTCAAACCAGTTAGCTTCATACATTCATTCATACAAGACACATTCAGCCAGTCTACACCAATACAAGCCAGAATGGACAGAACTGAGGTAATTGAATGCAAAACAAATCCCAAGTTAATTAGAGGATATCGAAAGAGATTATACTTCCTACCTGAAGACTGTTCCGAAGAAAGAGACAGAGGTGCAAGGACAGGAGTGTTTTGTCATCGAAATTGTAGACACCATCTGACCACTCCTGATATCGGTACATCATCCCACATGTGTTGCACTGCTTTCTGAACAATGAAATTCCTGATGAAGGCAAATACAGGATGTTTCACAGGCGTAACCAGGCAGTTTATGCCAAATACAAATAATTACAATGTATAAAAAATGCAATGAACCCTAAGATCAATCGATAGATGGATAGATTGACAAACCTTCAATAACACCTGTCACAGTGAGGATTTTGCCCTTGGTTGTTATTAGCTCCGGTTCCCCAAGCAGAGCTGCCTCAGAACATTCAGTGCAGAATGTTTCAGCTGGGGTATACAACCTTGGGAAGTTCTCTGACATTACCACATTAGTGTCTAGTACAGAGGGCATTCTCTTGTGGTGGTATATGTACTGCACCATTTTTTCTAAAACATCTCCCTCTGGTGGGTAGTGGCCTCCTTCCTCTTCCTCTTCCTCGCCACCTTCCACTTCTGTAGGGAAACGGTTTTGAACAAGTTCTTCCTCCACACTTTGTGTCCTCTGAAAAAGTGCACGCTCAAACTGAAACAGGTGCCACTTTGCAATATATTTGTGCAGGCAAGACTGCCTTGGCCTTGCACAAGGACAGTGCCAGGAGATCTGTTTTGTGTCAAAGGTAACCATAATTCGTCCAAGCCTGCTGTAATATGATACAGTAGGCTCATAAATGGAAATAAACCTCTTTGTTGAGGGATTGCAAATTGAGAGTTTACAGGACAGAGGTGTTCCTGCATCTGTAGCCTCCCTTTGGCGTTTCAGACATCTCTCCTTCTTGTCCTCTCCAAACCATTTCTCACTCACCATCTCCTGCAGTACATCCTCAGTGAGAGAGGGGTTTTCACCTATGAATGGTGGACAGTAAATAAGTGACTGGATGTGGTGACACTCAAAAGGTCTACAATTTGAGCGTTCAGCAAATTCTGCATTGATTTTGCAGACATCAAGCTCACATTTGGTCGACTGTTCCTTCCCCCAAGTCCTTTTGACCACATGGATGGGAGTGTTGGGTCCTAAAAATGACTTCACCACAGCAAATATTCCATTTTTATAATCTATTGCCTGGGATTTCAAATGCTTAGTTGCTGTAATGTCTACTCCTTTAGGCTTATGTTTCCTCTCAATGTGCAGTCTCACATTTCTCCTGTTCATTGTCATGGCACAATGTGGACACATGACGGATTCTTTTTTCCTCCTCTTGTGTGGTGGTGCACTGGAGGGCACAAGGAAGGCGGCAGGAGATGGTGGAGCACTGGTCGTTGCAATGCTGGAGGAC